TAAAAGAGGAGAAATTTAAGCAAGATGTTTGGAGAAATTCTTTACCCACAGAGTGGCGAGGCACTAAAACAGATTGTCTAGAGAACTTATGAATTCCCTGTCCTAGGAAGTTTTCAAGGTCAGGCTAGATGGGGCCTTGGGAAACATGATCTCATGGGTGGCCTCCCTGCCTGTGGCATGGAAGTCACAACTAGATGATCTTCAGGGTCTCTTCCAAGCCAAAACAGTCTGTGATTCTATGATTAACAGGAGGAATTCTGGAGGGTTTTATTAATTGAGGTTGCACTTTCTCAAATACAGCACAGTGTTCCGTTCAACATTTTTTCAAATGTTTTTAATCAGATGGTGTCAGTGTTATAGCTACTGAATTTGCAGTCATCTTTGCTCCTGCTCCCAGGGTGTGTATGGCTCATTCTCTTCCTTTCTGCTTTTGCTTTTTCCTATTATGCCTCTTACTGCCATCCCAAGAGGTTCATTCACTCATGCAGTCTTTTGCAGACAGATGAGAATATACTATGTCTGTTCCACAGACCAGCTTAAAAACAAATACTAGTAAGTGATAGGTAGCAAGCTGTAAGTACTATTACACTTGAATTTGATTTGGTGCACCTGGGGCTTCTAGTGTCCCCATACTTACCTGCAACCAGATCTGTAGCCAGTCCTGTATTTTGAGGTACTGTGTGCATTTTCCATTGGGTTTTGTTTGTTTGCCCTTACTCTTATTACGTGGAGATTCCCTGGAAACCTCAGAGGTGATCAGTGCATTTCAGTAGGGTGCTGAAAGACTATGGACATGGGGAAGGGAGTGTCCACCCAGCTTCTGCTGGATGCTGAGTGTATAACAAGGGAAGCTATTACTTCTTTAGTCTTCCAGTTGAATCTTCACCTTCTGTGCATTTTTCACTGCTGGTGTGGGATTCTCTAATGCTGTGCTTTCCCTGAGCTCAGTACTTATCCCCCACTTCTCAGAAGAAGCTATGAGTGGGTGAACAGAATAGTCGGTGCCTGCACAGTATGATGCATTTAATGTTTTTACTTGACTTTTTAACCACTCCCAGCTTAACAACATTGAATTGTGTTCTGCCTTTACTATTTCAGGCCATGACAGCATTATCTTCCCCTTACGTCCCTCACAATCAATTCCCAGATTTAATTCTAGTGTCTTTATATTCCTTCTTCTTAACATTTGCTTTTCTTTCCCGCAATGTGAACAAGCTATTCATTCAAGATAAATACATACAGAAGATCAGCTGTTCAGCTTCTCCCTATAGTGAAATATTAATCTGGGCTACTGAACTCATACTATTTTATATGGAAAAAATGTTGTTTAGTATACTCAAGAACCAGAATCATTGGTGGTGGTACCACTTAATGAAATCTATATCATTTTTTCCAAAGCTTGCAAAGCTGTTTTACCCTTTCTCTGATGTTCCCTGTGCAGCCTGATTATTGCAAATGCTACTTACTCCCCTGTGTGTGTCTGCAGCATTGGTAATTAGTGCACAATACGATTTGCAGGAGGCATGAGGAAAAGCACTGAAGTGCATTGATTAAAATTGCCACTTAGTTTAGCAACAAAACAAGCTACCATGTACCAAAGCCTAAATTATTTTAAGTGGGGGGTCATGGGCTATATTAAGAATAAAGTGGTTTTAAAAATAGAATGAATCCTCTGTCCATTGATCTGACAGTGTTCAAAATGTCTTCCCCAAAGCATTCTACTGACAAATTTCGCATGTTGATAAAAGAAAAAACTGTTACAGCTTTATTAAATGAGTAAAAATCTCTCACCTTAATGCCCTTGGGCAGAGTGCTTTCAATTTTGAGTGGAAGAGGCTGCCATCATCTTCTCTCTTACAAAGCCAGTGGAGAAAAAACAGATCCTCTGTGTTTCACCTAATATTTCCAAGAATGCCACTTACGTCCTGCGATGCTCCTTAGTCTTACCCATATGCTTGAGGGAATTGAATCTAGATGAAAAGGTGTCCTGCAAATGTATGTTGTAAAAAGGAGCAGCATTAGCATTAATAATGGCAATGGTTCTAGTACTATTCTAAATTCTCTTTTTTATTTAGCTGCAGTAATTTACAGTTAAAAACACGTATCGTGACATGGACCGAGGATTTAGCAGAAGTGCAACTGCTAATGAAGATATTTACCTCATCATGTAGTCATGTTTGTTTCTGGTTTTAAAAATAAAAATCTGTCTGCTGAACTGACCTTTCATCTAGAGACCTTTGCTTCTTGTTGACAGATCATATTCAGAATGTTACAGAAAGCCTGCTGATGCTCATCTGACCCTCTTACTCCCTGCTGCTCTTCCGTGTTAGTAATGATTAGTGATACTGTTGGGGTGGCCTGGGAAGTATTGCATGTGACTGTATGGCCCAGGTGGTGTTTGGCTTGATCCTTCTCCTAAGAGGAAGGGGCATGGAAGAGGATTAAGTGAAATAGATGAGACCTTCTTCAGAGAATTAGAAGAACTCTTATGTTCAAAGGTCCAGATTCTCATGGGGTACTGCAGTGATGCTTATGATCTGCTGGAAGGACAACAGCAGGGCTCAGGTGATCTGGAAGTTCCTGGTGGCAACTTCCTGGTATAAATAATTGAGGTGCCAGCATGTGATCTCCAGTGGTCTCTGCCAACTTCAGTGACTCTTCTTTGGTCTCTTCTTAAAGTTCTGGATTGAAAGAAGCAAATTAACAAAGCAGGAACTGTGAAAACAAGAAAAACTTGCTCTCATGCTAAGGGAATAGAAGCAACCTGAAACATCAACTAAACTTTTTAGCTCTCTGGAGTGAGATTTTTATTCTCCAATTTTCATAGGGCCAAAGTAGAATACCATGGCGCTAAACAAGTAACAAAGGTTCCTGGTAATACCATCACTGTATTTCAACAGATTTATGTTGTGCTTGTATTCTTCCACACAATGCAACACACTTTGCTTGAGGCATAGATACAGCTTATAGAATAAGTGGATGCCCTAGAGAGGAGGAGGAGGAGAAGTTGTTATGACAAGTGAAGCATTGCACCTCCCCTGTAGCATGTGACAGTATAACTGCATTTATACAGACACTGCATTTGATACGGGAGAAGTGAACAGGATATTTCATAGGAAGTTCTTTATAGTATAAATTAAATGGGAAATACAACTCCCTATAAAATGCTTTGCAAGTATGGAAATTCAGACTAGGCTGGTTTTCAAATAGTACTTACTGGAATGGATTCAAAATTTTGCCGTTATGTATTGTCACTCCCAAATTGAGTCAGGTTCTTAGAGTATATTTGGTGATTTTTTAACGTAAGTTTCTTTAGAAATCCTTGCTCCTTACTGTAAGGAGGACTAAGAGATCAAATCCAATTTTTAGGTGTAGCAGCACTTCAGAAGAAATCTGTTCAAAAACCTGCAGGATTTCAAGCCAGTGGAAACAGCATACACTTGATCAAAGAATCCAGGTGGCTGTGGACTCATGTTTAATTCCTGTACTAGCTGTGAAATGATATGAGGAACATATTTCAATTACAGTACTGAAAGTACTGAAAGAAAATGGTATTATACTTACCAAAAAATATTTTATGGTAATGGTCCCCACACATTAAGAAACAAAGATTCTAATACTCTGTTGACTGTTGTTTTTCTGGCATAAAGATCAGTGGTTAGAGTTTACAGAAATGGTTAGAGTGGACTCAAATAAGTTTGTGCTGAAGTGGAGGCAGAGAATATAGATGAGCAGTGGGTCCCATAACTTTTGCCTGGAGATTGTAACACATAGCTTCATTTTGGAAACTGTTAAACTGACTCCAGCCAATTCCCAAGTCATCTCTTGGGGCCCTTGGGTTGTTTCCTGTACCATTGGCTGTGTCTTTCCTCATTTAAGGAAAGAGGAATCTATTGCAACACATTTTAGAGACAGTTTTCAGTGGTTTTTTTACTTGGAAACTGTGCTTATAACTGTGTTTACCTGCAGGATGGCACCTTGATAGTGATTGATTTGTATTTTTGGTCTATTTCTACTTGATTTCAATTGTATAGCAGTTTCTTATTATTTTTGAGGAGGATGTTATAAGATGGATCAAATAATATATGCCCTATATTTTATCCAAAACGTTTGGAAACACTAACTTTATTAAATAAGCAAAAGCTCCAGTGTTTGTTCTCTACTAATCTAAATGAAAGAATGAAAAATATATGCACCTTTTTTCCATTTCCAGTGGTTTTAGGCTGCTTCCTTCTCATTTTTTAATATAATTCTATAATTAAAACATACTTGTTCTTACTTTATGAAAGAGCATTTGTGGTATGTGGATCTTTCTTTCATTTAAATGCCTTGATATCAGAAATATGTCCTAAAAATATCTAGTAGCCAGGCTTAAGAGAACTAACTATCACACTCAACATTTTAATCAGATAATTTTTCTCTTTGGCACAGTTTCTGCTTTGCATTCTTCAAGTTCTTTAGTTGTATGAGCCTGTAGCTCACACCCTCCAGGAATGAATAATGGTGCTTTAAATTTGTTGTTGCTAATTACAGCTTGATGATACTCCTTTTGTAGCCAAAATGGATTTGAAATAAACCTCACTATAAGTAAGAGTCTAGTTATAACCTAAAAATTTCCCTCTTTATAGCAGAAATTCATCATATCTCACCATAGTAGATGTTAATTTTATAAGAGATAGTTAAATCCTTTTCTACAGTCAGCATTATTTTAAGAAGTAAATTTAAGGGGGAGGAGGGATTACGAAACAGTGATGAATTTTTCATGTTTCCATGAGAAAAATCTAGCAAATGGGTTGTAATTCCTACATCCATCCTTGCTGTAGGTAACACAGGTCTCACTCCTTAGTGAAGAGACCAAGTTGTGAATCTGAAAGTAAATTATGTGTTCCTTTCTACTACAGTATTATATTCTTATAACAAGCCATTTTCAAATGAAAAAATCTCAAGTTTGTGCTTCATTTTCCAAATGAGAAAATGTATTTGCTTCTTTTCCCAATTAGAAACCCACATCTTGGATCAGAAAAAAGAAGACTTTTGTGCTGAACTTCAGTTTTACAAGAATTCTCAAAAACCCACAGAATTTTTTATACAGGCAGAAACTGAAGCACCAGCACTTTCAGATTTGCGTGTAACCAGTCAAAGAGGAAGAGTCCTAACTGACTGTAATTCTGGTCCTGAAGAATCAAGGTAAATTCAAGAAATACCCCTCCATATAGTTTTTCTAGATTCAAGTTGTTGACAATATACATCTGGATTTTGGGGTAAATATAGGGAAATTTGCTTCCCACATAAGAATCAGTAAGTCAGCTTTTTACTTAGACTCACCATATCTGCCCTTCTTCCCTTGTGGAATGTAGCTTTTCACTTTTGTATTCTCTGTCACTCATAGAAAATTTGATCATTGCAATGGTTTATACATTGTGGGTGTTTCAATGATTGTGATTTCTACAGAGAATTTTGAAAATGCATGCTGAACATTCAAACAGATTTTGAAAATCTAGTGGTATCTGTGGCTTTACACAACAAGCACTTGAAATGTGATGAGTGAGTAGGGAGCAGGAATAAAGCAGGATACCTTGTAACAGTCTGTGACAGGAATCTGAAGACAAGCTAATATGGTTGAAAAGTTTAATTCAGACTCTGAAGATTTTATTTTGTCATTAATTTTGGTCATTTCTTGTCACTAGTGTTTTTGCACACTATGCAGTGGCCCTGTATAGCAGTCTTAAGAAAAATATACACTCATTCTATATGTGACCCAATGTACAAAGGTGTAACTAGCTGGTTAGTTATAACTTTGACTAACAAACTGGTTAGGGAACATGCTGATGATTTGGAATAACTTAGGCTGTCTGAAGACCAATTTTTAGCTGAGAGTGTCAGAGCTGTTTTTGAAAATGGGATCAAGGCAGCAAATGCCTATTATATACTTTTGAAAAATGCACTAATTCCTGGCCTGTCTAGCAGATTTTGCACCCAGTTTTGTTATCTTCATTATGATCTAACGGCGACTTTCTGGGCCAAACCCAATCCTTAATACTTTTTCATTTTCTTTTTTGCCTTTTTGCATTTGCGACTGAGATTTGCTGTAAGGGCAGTGCATCCTGCACTAAATGCCAGGTATAATCCAGAGTGCTTAGGTGCAACCCAGCACAGAGTCAGCCAAAAATTTTTCATTTTACTTTTCACCGGTGCCACTCCCACTGACAATCAGGCTTGTCTCGAACACTGAGATTAACCTCCCACAGCAGTCAGCATGTTGAGCCATCTCAGCTCCAAGTGTGTTATGTGTAGGATCCTAAAGCTATATGCCAAAACCTGTCTTTGCCCAAATAGATTGTACTTAGAATATATGTTAAAATTTCTTGATATAGAAAAAACCTAGGAGATGCTGAGTCAGTGTTGATTTGTGTTTTAGATGGTGGTCTTGGTGTACAGTCAATGTGATGTCATTTTTAGTTTTACGAGAAAGGAAGAAAACATTTGAGGGATTGAAAGATGGTCATAGAATTATGGAGTGGTTTGGTTTGGGAGTGACCTTAAACATCATCTAGCTCCAGCCCCTCTCCCATGAGCAGGGACACCTTTCACTAGACCAAGCCTATTCAACTTGAACACTTCCAGGACTGGAGCACGCACAGCACTCAACAACTTGTTCCAGTGTCCAACGACCATTTGAGTAAAAAATTTCTTCCTAATATCTAATATAAACTTACCATCTTTAGTTCAAGATGATGGTGAATTATACTCGTTCATGGAAGCATCTCTTAAACATAGAAAATGCACAAAAAGCACTTGAGTTTTGTCATATTTGGCCAAGAGTACCTAGATGCATCTATCACTTGCAGCCTGAAACAGTACTAAATGAAAAGTGCACAGCAAAGGTTAGATAGGATATGAAGGATCTTGGAAGGGAAGACATGCAGTTTAAGCCACTGTTTCACCCGTATGTGGTGTAATACACTTAGTAGTACTTTCTTGATGTTAATCTCCATGCTGTCTATGTCTAATGGGCTTTAGGTTGCACAGCTTACCTGCAGAATGCAGATCTTAACTTCCTTCTTAAAGAACCATAGAGAAAATAAATCCAGTGGAAGCAGGTGAAAGAGTGGCTGAGTACAGACAACTGTCTGCCTAAGAGAACAACTCTTTGGAGCAATAGATAGTTTTCTATATCTTTCTAGGCTGTGAATTACACATAAAGTAATGTGGATACAGTGGAAACAGGAGTTCAGAAGGTATAGCTTTTCTGTGCCTACTTCTTATCAGTTATTGGCTATGAAGTGTATAAGCAGAAAATGCTTAAGGAAAGCAAATGTTAAAAATATTTGCTAGTTCCCCTTCTAATCTATTCATTTACTGATTTTGCTGCCATGTTACACGTGAGATCTGAGTGATCTGTGAGTATCAATGGATACCCAAGAAGTTTTATGAGAGTCTTTGAGACAGAATTTTTCTGGCCATTGAATCTTGTCTTATTTTAAGTTGCCTATGGCTAATAAGTTGTTTTAAAACTCCAAGTGGCATGGAGTATGGAATTCCTGTTGTCAGTTATAATATTTAGAATCATACCATGATTTCTTCAAGATTTCTTCAAGATGAGTTCCGAGATATTTTTTGATGGATATTCTCACATCACTTCCTACAAAAATATTTGGTTTGCTTAAACCTGAATGTCACTTTGATCCCCAAATTTTTTATTATTTTTTGCTCTGTGTTAAGCAATGTTTTTTAAGATTTACTTTCCTTAACCATTTGCTGTTTATAGGCTTCATAGCCAATTTATATTAATTTGTTTTTTTCTTAGTACTGTAAGATATTTATTTACTATTCCAGATTTACAGATTATTTTCAGAATTACAGCTTTAAAAAGTGGTAGAAGGGCATCCATTTTTAATGACTATTTAATACATTTGCAGTGGTTAACAAGTTTGTTAACAAGATTTGATAATTTATTTTTGTGCATTTTGTTTTAGGTGGGTGGAAAAACAACTGTTCTTTAAATTATTTTTAATTTTTTTTTCCTTCCAAAATACAGCACTGTAGAAAGAAAGGATAAGAGGATGCTTCCTGAATTTATATCCTCATGGAATGATGCTGAAGATTTAGGTGGAAAAACAGAAACTTCATTCCTTTTAAAAGAATTGGACACTCTGAGGGCCAAAAATAAAAAGGTACAATTGAGATATTCAAGATACTAATATTTGCTTTTTTATAATTGCCTTGCAAAACATACATTTTAAACTGTGCCTGATTTAATTTTGTAATTTATTTTAGTGCACCAATCACAAGTTTCCTGTCATTTTGGATTCTTAGTATCTGCTTAACAACTATTGCTCTGGAATATAAATAAAACCATCCAACCTACTCTGACTTTTTTAATCAATTACATTAATTCTTGCACCCTGGATGAAAACCAGTGAAGACCAAAGACTAGACCAGGATTTCATGCCTAGAATATGGAGGTCATTCTTTGATGCTTTTGTATGTGTGGCCTAGACAATTAATGTGCCCTGATAACTTGGCTTTATTGAAGGGGGGAAAATTCCATCCTCCTTGAACATCACATTGCTTCTAGTGTTAGCTGTGTTGCATGTGCCTAAGCAACCTAACAGACTCTAGTCTTTCCATGAAGTGTCATTGAATATTCAAGCTCAGTCCAAAAACAGATTTAGTGAATACCCTTTAAAAAAAAGGCCTCAATATGTGAAAGAATACCTATCTTATATCTGATGAAGAACATGAAAAAATAAGCATTTACACCAGTCTTTTCAGAGTGTGATGTCTGTATCTAGGATTCCCACTAGGATCTGGTGTGATTCCTGTATATAGGAAACAGGCTATCCATGCAACAACCTACATTATATTCCGTGCATTTCTGAACTTCCTTAGCAAGAAGGACTACAGCTGGTGATACCTGAGGAAGACAATCTCAAATAAAAACAATGGCATGTGCATTGCCATGTCTCACAGACAAGGCAAGATAGGCCAGATGTTAAAAAAAATATTCTCAACATTTGTTCTTTAAACAAATAAATATAATAAATTGAGCTTCTGTTTTAATGCTTATAGTGTTTGTATTTTGAGGGTGAGAAATTGTTATTTACACTTTTATTGTGGTTGGAAGTATTGCTTGATAGTTTCGGCCAAATAATCTTACTGTCCATTTGCTCAATTCAGCTTCAAGATAAGCTGGCTGAAAAGGACAAGGAGCTGAAGACAATGAAACTGGACTTAGAATTGCAAGACAGAGCTACAGAAGCTAAGATTGCAGAAAAGATTGCAGGTACAGTAGGCAAGCGTTTAACAGATGGCTGTATGGCTCATACAGTACCCGTGGTTGCTATATGACGTGGCCTACTGAATGTTAGCTTTATTTGCTAAAGGAGGGCAGATTTGACTTTTTTTTTTATGTGTGGCTGTTTAGAGTTGCTTAGAAAATAGATGGCTTTAACATCCTGGTACTGGTATTAGTAGGAGCTTTACCTGTATTCATACTGATTTGGGCATTAAATGCATTGTTAACACCATGTCAATCCAATCACAAAAAGGTTGTTTGTTTTGTTGGAAGGTCCTGAACAAACAAGGGGAAATAATGATTACCAGTGCCTCTACCTTTCAACCAGCAGTTCAAATACCACTTATTGTTTTAGCTGGTTCAGAGCAATACTACCCCCTCCCCGTGTTTGGAGATAGTCTCACATTCACCTCAACTAGAGACCTGTGCTGTTCTTGAAAAATCTGCTCTTTTGGTAGTTAAAATGAATTTTTGTCAGATGATGGTATATATCCAGTGAATGAAGTTTATATAAATTCTCAGAAGGAAATGTTTTTAAGTTCATAGCTGAAAATGAACGTATGCTTATATTTGTTGTTAATTGTTCTTTGGATAGACATACAAGCATGGGAGACAGTTTGTATTCTATGCTTGTGGAAACTGCTGATGTAATGAGGCTGGGAATTCTTATTATTGAAAAGTGACTATGCATACAGTTTACCCAGTAGATGAAAAATACTCTAAGGTTTTCATGAAGATGTTGAAAAAAATTAATGGGAGTGCTTTTATAAATTCATTGTATCATTTGTTCAGAAAGAAAGTGTAAGCTTGGTAAAATTGTTTCCTCATAGATCACACACACTTCATAGAGTATTAATAGTACTAATGGCTATCCCCAAAATATTTGTACTAAAGGGAGGAGTAACTGTCTTCAGGAAATGGAGCAGATAATAAACTCTCTAGCTGAAAAACAGATGGCTGACACTCCACTTAATATCAAACTCCTGAGAATGTGTTCTACTGTGAATATTATAGATTGAAAAGAGAGTTCCTAGATTTTCTGTGGTGGAGGAAGTGAAAGTCAAATCTAATCAACATCTTAGGAAAAAAATGAAATACAGGGAAAAAAATGAAATACAGGCTTAATTTATTTTATTTCACATAACTGCTTGTATAATTTTCAGAAGAAAGAAAAATCTGCACTAGGTGCCATCGTTATATCCTCCAGCCAAAAGCTAATGCAGATTGTTTGGCTTGAATATGAAGTTTTGTGGTTGCTCCTGGATATTTGCCCAGTGTTTTACCTCTGTACTTGATTCTCTGGTATAGGTGTTCATTGCTTATTAAAACCTGGAAAGAATGGTGTGTCAAAAACACAGATAGTTTCGTTTTTATGTATACAATTGAAATACTCGTTAGAAAATTGTTGTTTTCCTGCACTACTGCTTAAAACTTCTAATGATGTCCTAAGCATATTTTTCTCTTCAAAAGAGTGGCATGAATATGGATATAATAATTTAACATGCTTATTTTGTTCTAAAAGGAAGAATAAATAAAATTTTAAAATTTTAAAGAGAGCTACGTAGTGTAATAACAATGACCTTTAAAAAATAACCTTTTTTTCCTCCTTTTTATGAGTACAGGAAGTATAAAATCCTTTAAATGCTGAAGAGAGAGGGCAAGAGGCTCCTTACTACTTAAACTGTTTGCCAAAAGGAAGCACCGTTAATATTTCACAGTTTTTTTGCTTCCTGTCTTACAGTTCTAAGAATGTTACCAAATTTGGATAAATGGTTTGAAATCTGGAATTATGTGAACCAAACTGGATTTGTGGAAGCCTGTGTGTCTCTCTCATAAAAGCCTTGGGGAGAGTTCTAATGGACAAGCAGAACCTAATAAAGAACAGACGGTGTGTTTAAGAAAAAACTTATCCCCGTGCATTAAGTTCTTTGAGGAAGGGAGAACACATGCTGCTGTGATTTCAGGTTACTAGTTAATGTTTAATTACAGCAGTGTGTAACACATGGTAGAATGAAGCTTGTAAATATGGGTGTTTGCATTTTTATTATTACTTAGTACTGCCTTTATGATAAGTAAGTGACTCCACAAAATTATATTGTAAAGAACATAAGCAAGGTACACCATAAAAGTGTTATCTACTTTGAGGAATATTAGAATTCTGTTTTAAAAGGTAGCCCTGTAATTGATAGGTTTTACCTGTACAAGTCCCATGGAAAGACTTGAAAATTGAAGACAAAGGGCATTTTGAATGGAAGCTACAGGAGTCTACAGAAACAAATAATCCAAAGATTGTCAGTTTATGATTCTTACACTGTTCAAAGGAAAAAGTGAAGAATAAAAGGGTAAATTTGTGAAATGCTTCACGGTAAAAGAGGAAACGGTAGAGTTAAGGCAGAAGATATACATGATGGTAGAAAAGTATATACTGTGTGCAGTAAATAACTTCTTTTCAGAACATTCTTATTTTTAAATTTTGCTATCCTTGAAAATTGATTTTAAAACTTCCTCAGGTCCCTATCTCTATGTCAGCCAGTAATGGCTAAAGATTATTAGGGAATTTAAAGTTTTGGTTTCAGTCTTTTAAGCATTAGAGACTATTGTTTCTGGTGGTCATAGTTACCACAGATTCCTGCAGTTTATTCATTATTCTTCTGTTGGATTTTGTGTCATTCTGATACAATGTCAGGAGGTACTGTTAGTTTCACTCCCTGTCATGAAGAACAGTGGTGAAGGCAACATCAGGAAAACCCAGGGAAGAGCACATCATAAAAGAACACACACCAGAATAGTGTAAGCATAAAAGGAACACCATGTATGAAGCAGGTGTGAAGAATAGTCAAATCTTGAAATTTGTGTGTGCGGAACTTTCATATGTTGAACAGAAAAGGGAGCAGGTGCCACCTGTGGGCATGGAAAGGGGAAGGAGCATACATTTTCCAAGGGCAGACTGGAAAATCAAAATGGAGGCATTGGAAAGGAGTAAGTCCTCAAAACAACTAGCTCAGAGAACAGATATCACTTCGGATGGATGTAGTAAGTGACTTCATTTTTTCCTAATGGAAGAATTAAAAGGGAATATTTAGGAACTTTTAGAGGAAGGACATGGTTGAGTGTAAGGGGGAGTTACAAAGCATAGTGGTAACTTCTTTAGACTGGAAAAAATATCAAAGCCCTATTCTCACACAGTGCCATTACTGCAGCAAGATATACCATAGTTGACATCAGAACCAGAGCTCTTGGAATATTTTTGTTGCTATCCAAGTATATATTGAGACTAAGAATAGTTCTGAACGAAAACATAATAAAAATATTTATCCTTAAATCTTTCTGTAGCAACAGCTATTATGTGAGTTGGGTTTGGTTTTTTTTGTGCCAGTATCTAATAATAATGTTACCAAAATTTAATACTTACTTAAATCAACGTCAGATCAGCAGTATTGAGTCTGACCCTATTAGGGGTTTCACACCATTTTTAATGCTTGAAAACTGTATTAGCATTCTGTAGGTGCTCTCTGAAAGACCAAGGCAGTGACAGGAAATACAGTGTGGAAAAAGAGAAAAGTAATACTTCTAATATGGTGGCATGTATTATATAACTTTCAGTCTTTTAGAAGCTATAGCACTGTACCTGCAATGAAGCAGGTATTTCAGGTCTGTTTTTATGAAAATGTTGTGAATATACATTTGTGGTATTTTGGAATTCTTGAATATGGTATGGAAATATTCATGAACATTATTTGAAGTTTTCTAAATTAACTTGAAAAATAATTACTGAATATGCATGTGCAATAAATTTAATAGCAAAGGTAAAAACAAATATCCAAGTGGCTGTTAGCTGAGTTAATTTGATTTAATATCCATAAAGTAAGAGGAAATAAGTAATCTTGCCAGTAATAAACTTTGGGTGGCAATACCTTTCAGCACAGAAGAAAAGTATTTTCCATTTCTTCAAAGCTCACTTCAGAGTCCCTTTTTAGATGTTATTTTTCTTTCCTGCATGTCATCCATTAAAGATTAGCTGTGGAAGGTTGGAGCATGGAGAGATTATGAATGACAGAACAACTCCTGCAGAATAATAATCAGTTTTTGGTATTTAATGCTGTTTGACTTTTGCAGACACATTTCTTATTAACCTTTGGTACAAACAGAAATCCAGGTTCCTGATATCTCATGGAGGAGATGAATTCAAGATCCTCTTCCAATTAAACTGAAATAAGGCCAATATTGGGCTTTAGCCAAAAGAACTCAGTAGTTCCCAACTCTCATGTTTATAAACCTAAATATGAATGATATTTTACAGTTTAGGAAGGTAATACATATACTTTCTTAAACCAGTTTTCTGTACATCATAAATTTATATATTTAGTCTATATAGCTCTTAGGGGGTTTGTCCTATTAAAGGCTTCATTATGGAATACTGTTTGCTGAATATCTTCTCAAAATATTTCCTGATGAATAACACAATTTTGAAAATAGCTGCAGGATTTGAATCCTCTGCATGGGAAAGTAGACAATCCATCTAAAGAACAGAAAAACCCACAAGGTGGGGGCATCGTGACTGAAAGATTCTTTGCTCAGTTTTTAAGATTAATTTGAAACAGTGTGATTTTACCTTCAGATAGTCAGAATTGCTGATTGTCAAGAAGTTGCATGCAGCTCTTTGAAGTACAATATACGATGAGTTGGCATAGATTAAAATGTCAGTTACTAAGCTATTTATCGGTGGAGCTTGTATGTGAAAAGCAAGCCAGTTTCTTCTGCATTTTTTATGATTAGTCTGGCCCTTCTTTCTTCCACACAAGTGCTAGATGAGCATAAAGAATTGGGTTTTATTCAGGGATAAAAAGGTCTGAAAATGATCTGCTTCTTGGGGCATTACAAAACTTGGCTTCAACATGACAAATTATAACTTGCAAACTTTATTGCAATGTTTATATTTTCCCCCTAAAAGTAAATATTCAGGCATCAGCAATTATTCACTGTAGAAA